GCCCCCAGGAAACGGCGGGGGAGCCGAAGAACGCTCCCTGAAAACAGATTCCCCCCACACACACAAAGGAAGAGCTCTCTGCTCCGAAGAGAGGGTGGCGCTGTGGGGCAGCCTCCGTGGGCGGGTCCGCGGCTTCGGAGACGCAAGCGCGTTTTATGCTGCCACGGAGCGTCGCCTCGGGAGCGCGGACGCCTCCGAAGCTGCAAGTGGCTGCCGCCTCGGAGGCGCGAGGCCGTCGTGATGTGCGCGTGGTTGTGAACGCCGCGTGATCAACCAGGGTGGTAGCCTCGGGGGCGCGGATCCGCGAGGTGCTGTGGCTTCGAGAGCGCGAATCTGTCGTATGGTCCGTGCTGCAGGGCCCCCCAGGGAACTTCTGGGAGCTCCATTCTGCGAGAGGGAACGTATGCTATTAATCGCTACATCAGTGGAACTAGAACATATGAGTTCTAAAACGAGACACTGGGAATTTGAACTGGCTGGCGGATCATCATCGCTGGCGCCATCAATGCCATCGTTTTGTTTATCATACCACATCGTCGTCGTCATCATCCTCGATATCACCGTCGCCGCCGCCATCATCGTCGATGTCGTCGCCGTCGCTGAATTTCTGCGCGTGCATGTCCTCATCCTCACCAGCACCATCGTCATCATCATCCTCATCATCATCATCATCATCATCATCATCATCATCATCATCATTGCCAGCGTAAATATAACCACCGTCGGTATCATCACCATCCGCGTTTCGCCGTCCCCCTCGCCGTCGTCGTCGACATGGTCTCCACCGTCGTTATGAACACCATCGTCATCGTGATCGCCGGTATCGTCGCCCACTTGAGTTGTGCATGCAAGTGGCGGGCGGGCGGATGGGATGTTTGCAAGAGCACTGTAGATGGTCACGCACGGATGCGCTCAAAATCGATCGTCTGTTCAAACAAATACATTCCACCACCTTCCCCCTGGTATCGCCCCTTCTTCTGGGACATTACGAGTTCGTTTTCCATATCAGTCATACCATCCCAGGAGGGCGGGGTATCGCCCCCTCGTCGGCGTTGTCAAGTAATGCAGAAGGGCGTCGTTGTCTGCCGCTGGCCCCCCTTCTACCAGAATGGGAGATGTCAGAACTATACGGGGAGGCATCGGCTGTGTTTTGAAAGTGTCTGGGAACAGCATGCGGGGGTGGTTGGCATTCAGCAAGCGCCTTGAGATATTGGCGGTTTGGCTGGACGCGCTAATCCCTTCTCAGGGCACGAATATGGAGTAATTCACAAAGGATCGTGGCCTCGGGAGCGCAAGTCTGGGGTAATGTTTGGGGGATCGTGTCTCGAAAGCGCGAACCAGGCGCAAGTTGTCAAGGACTCTGACCTCAGGGGTGCGAATCTGGTGCAACGTAAAAGGACTACGAAACGTTCACAGGATTCTGGAGCCGTGAGCGCGACCCTAAAGTAATTAGTCACGCTTCGCTTATAGACACTTGCCCATTCAGAAAAATGCCGATGAGAGTTGACGGGACACGGGCGGACGAGATCTTGAAGCGATGCCCAGGCGAGTTGTCTTCTTCAGGGAAGTGTGGGAGCGTGCAGTGAAACATGTGCCCATAGAGGTACGAGGAGGAGCAGGAGGAGGAGGAAGGGGAGGAGGAGGTGGACGAGGACGACGAGGAGAAGGAACAGCAGGACGAGCACGGGAACGAGGGAGGAGGAGGATGAGTTGGAAGAGGACGATGAGGAATAGGAGGAACAGAACGTAAAGAACGAGGAGGAGGAAAGGAAGGAGGAGGAGGAGGACGACGACGACGACGACGGCGACGAGGACGAGGACAAGAGCTCTGGCAGCCATCATGGAGTCTTAGTGAGGCCGTTGTGGCGTCCTCTTGGGGCTGCCTCGGGGCACTCCTGGGGCCCTCTTTGTGGTTTTTGTTCGGACCCTCTTGGAGCTCTTTTGAAGGTCTTGGGGCCGTCTTGGAGCCCTGGAGGGCCTCTTAGGGGCCATCGCGGAGGCCAGCGAGCAAAGGAGGGTCCCCAATTCCCCCCCTCAAGAGCCTTCGCAACTGCGAGGGCCTCTTGGGCCCCTCGTGGCGCTCTTTGGGGACATCTCGGGGCCAGATTGAGGCCTTGAGAGCCGACACGAGACTGCGAAAATTTGATGTTCCTCGGGGGGTTGAGCGATGTTGGCTTTGGGGGGAGGTCCTGAGGTGGCTCTGAGGGAGCGCGAAATTGGTGTAGTGTACACCAGATGTTGGCATCGGGAGCGCGAAGCAGACGGAATGGGTAAAGGATTCTGGTCTCGGGAGCGCGAGCCAAGCGCAACTTTCAAGGAACCTGGCCGCGGGGGCGCGAATCTGGCGTGATTTACGAGGAAGATGGCCCTTGGGGCGCGAGCATCATGTACACTCACGTGTCCGAGGGCCAATGGGAATTCTGAGAACCCCGGGGGGGAAGGGCAAGCAAACAAATCTTGTTCGGCTCCCCCCCCCCTTCGCGCGGATCAGTAACCACTT